GTGGCAGGTCTTTCCGTCAGAATTATTAATAATTGAAAATTATATTTAAAGGTAGCTTTATGTTCAGTCTTGCAAAGTGCACTTGAAAGGTACTTATAAAACCAGAACTTGTTTTCATTAAATGTGACGTTTGATTTACACGCTAGTCCAACATTTGTTACTTTAACAATCATTGAAATTGTCAATAAATAATTCAAAATATGTTAATATATATAAGCTTTTGAAAAACATAATCAATTGGAATAATTCCTGAACTTGGGATCGTAACATAAAACGATATAATTAAGAAGCACGAAAATTAGAAATTTAAAAGAAATCGAATTTGAAGTCTCTTTAAACATAAAATGACTGTGTAAATGCAATCAATTTTGCTTATGTATTTTAAAGGTTGTTTTAAATTTTCCCATTCGGACTTTAATTAAACAACTCTTCACAGAGTTCTCTATCTATATTTCACGGATTGGTTGCATGTTGTTCTATGTCGAATTTGAGAATTTTTTACCCACATAGAGAGACGTCACCAAATACCGGTGAAGTGCTCCATATTTTGACCTTTACTCGGCACTAAGGACCATTGAACAGAGAGGGTGTATCATGCAAAATAAAAAAAAAACAGCTCAGATTGTAAAAATATTTCAAATGCATTTTACATGTGAGCCTTGTTTAAACAATCTTTTGAATTCGAATTACATTTTGTTATTTCTATTTTTTTCTTTTTTCTTAGATAATTAATTTTACGAAACGATACAAAGTTGCATATAGAAGCCAAAAGGAAAAACTACGTTTTCTTTCTTTTCATGGATTTATTATTTCCGTCATTTCCATTTATAACCAGTCAAAAAATTATGTAAACACATGCATCAGTTTTGTGTAATGCTCGGTAGTATGTACCCTTAGGTTAATGTAAAGAGTTTCATGAAGGGGTAAACTTATGCAACACATATCAGTTAATTTTTCTGAAATATAGTCCATTTTATATCCTTCAGAACAATCCTGCAATTATCCTGCTTAAAGTTACAAAAAAAAAAAAAAAAAAAAAAAAAAAAAATTTCGCCGTATTAATTTTATTCAGGGTTCTCCATGAGCTGTTTTACTGTGTTGCTCCCGACACAGTAAAATTTTCTCCGACACAGTAACGATTCAAATTGTATGCATGCGACACAGTAAAGATTTTGCCGACACAGTAAGATCTGTGATAATGAGAAAATATAAACACACAAATCTCTCAAACTGAAACTTTAATCAAACAATTTTACCGTCTTTCAATTCTAAAGATTACGGTACTTAATTATGTTGATTACTAGGGCTTCACCTTACATAATCAATTATCTCCTAGACAATCGGCGGAGTTTACGCATGACGAAACAGAGCCTGGACAAATAATTTGTTTGCACACCATGTTACGGTTAATTGGTAGTTGCAATAAAATACATCGTATTATTTTTAAAAACTATTTAAATATGTCTTTTTATAGACTTTTGAAAATATTTCACTGTTCTGAAAATTCTGGGTTTTTTTTAATGCGGTAACTTGATCAAGAAAACTGATAAATAATCACGGCAAATCTCCTTTCAAAAATGTAAAGACTTAGTTGACTGTATCGGTCAGAATTTCCTCTGCTTTCAGAACGTGTTTTTACTTTAATCAATATGTACGACCATACCATCTGTGTAACAAATTTATTTATGTTACTTTATATGAATGTATTTCCGCCATTTCACATGTATCTTGTATTTCATTTTTTGTATATATAGGACATATATTGTTGAACCTCATGTACCATTGATATGGTTTGAGTGAATAAATTGAACTTGAACGAATAAGCGATTTTAGATAAGTGTGTGCAAGTATCTTTTGTACTTATGATAAATACCACCAGTAGTGATTCAGTTGCGAATTTGATCGCGAAAATACCACAAAAGTTTAGTGCTTCGCGTAAACTCTGCAACACAGTAAGATTTCAAATGATGGAGAACCCTGTTATTATACCCTAAATTAATACTCAGTAATTACTTCAGTTACACCTTAGAGTTATAAGATCTGTTTGTACATATACTTGTCGGTAATTTATAAAAAGCAATCAATGTGGCAGGCCTTTCCGTCAGAATTATTCATAATTGAAAATTATATTTGAAAGTACGTAGCTTTATATTCATTCTTGCAAAGTGTACATGAAAGGTACTTATAAAACCCGAACTTGTTTCCATAAAATGAGTAATGTTTGATTTACACGCTAGTCCAACATTTGTTACTTTAACAATCACTGAAAACTCAATAAATAATTCAAAATATGTTGATATATTTAAGCTTTTGAAAAACATAATCAATTGGAATAATTCCTGAACTTAGGAACGTAACATAAAACGATATAATTAAGAAGCACGAAAATTAGAAAATTTAAAAGAAATCGAATTTGAATAGTCTCTATGAACATCACATGACTATGTGAATGCAATCAATTTTGCTTATGTTTTTTAAAAAGGTTGTTTTAACTTTTTCCATTCGGACTTTAATTAAGGTTCATAAACCCTCTGCTCACTCATATAAAATGTTGCTTAAAAATTGATGATTTTTGAAAAGGAATGTACTTTATAAGTAAAATACAAACAATTATAGCATAGCTTGCGGGGAAAAATTGGACAAAAAACACACTTCAACTTGACAAATCTATAAAGGAATAGTAGACATTTATGTTATTAAGAGTTATCTCTCTTATCAGAGTATCAATGACCTTTAAACAGCTCTCCACGGAGTTCTCTTGTCTATTTATATTTGATGGATTGATTGCATGTTGTTCTAATTTGAATTTAAGAATTTTTACCCACATATAGAGACGTCACCAAATACCTGTGAAGGGCTTCATATTTTGACTTCTACTCGGCACTAAGGACCATTGATTAGGGAGGGGTTTTTTATCATGCAAATACCTTCCATGACACATACGAGACCTCAGCTTTAAAGGTCTCATCCGAAAACCCCGCAATTCAATATTGAAATAAAAAAAAAAGCTCAAATTATGAAAATATATTTCAAATGAATTTTTACATGTAAGCCTTGTTTAAATAATGTTTTGAATTCGATTATTTTTAGTTCTTTCCATTTTTTATTTTTTCTATATAATTACTTTTACGAAACGATACAAAGTTCCACATAGAAGCCAAAAGGAAAATCTACCTTTTCTTTCTTTTGAGGGATTTATTATTTCCGTCACTTACATTTAAATCCAGTCAAAAAAATAATTATGTATATAAATGCATGAGTTTTGTGTAATACATGGTAGTATATACCCTTAGGTTAATGTGAGATTAACCTAAGGGTAAATTTATGCAACACCTATCAGTTAAGTTTTCTGAAACATATTCATTTCATGTCCTTCAGAACAATCCTGCAATTATCCTGCTTTGAGTTACCAAAACAAACGTATTTATTTTATCCTAAAAGTATAATTACTTCAGTTACGCCTTGGAATTATAAGATATGTTTGTACTTGTCGGTTAAAATCAATCAATGTTGCAGGCCTTTCCGTCAGAATTATTCATAATTGAAAATTATATTTAAAGGTAGCTTTATGTTCAGTCTTACAAAGTTGCATCTACAGCTAGGTGGACATTTTCATCGCTGTTTTCAAGGTCTTTTGCATCATGCGCGTTATTTGCGGCTGTTTCTTGTTAATTTTCTCGCTACAGTTAGCAGAAGCCTTGTCTCGTAGGTATTCGCCTAATTTGGCTTTTGATGGAAAAAAAGTCAGACAACAAATCTCTAGCAGAATTAAGTGTCCCCTCGTTGTCATTTTGCGCAGCTCTCTGTGACGTCACTTGCGGCTGTTTTGGATTCAACTCGATAGACGAAAAGTGCCAAGTTCACAATTCATTTGACCAGACCGATATAACTGTACCAGGCAATGGTTGGAAACACTACTTTCCAGAAGGTAAAAAGAAATCCTGATCTTTCAATACCTCATTGAGCATTATCAAAATGTGAATTACTTTATTTCTTTTAATTCCATGTAAATGCTTATTATGCAAAACATTTTCAGCTCCTCCCGAGGACAAAGATGAAAAACCTTTTCCCGGGGACTGTAGGGACATCTTTGATAGTGGACGGCAAAAATCTGGCATATACAAGATTTATCCATTTGTGAGTGACATTACATTTGTTATCAACGTGTCTTGTAAAATGGACAACTGTGGTAGAAAGTGGACGGCAGGATCTATTTCTTTCTGCTTTATTCCTTATTTAAACAATATAAATCTATGAAAAATGTATAAACATGAACTCCCGAAATTTTCTTAGGTCGGACCTGATGCCTAGGAGAAATTTCCCTCTCGACCGTTCGAATTTGCTTTCAGTCGAGTCGTCGCAGAACAGCTTGATGATATATCTTAATACCTTTTTTTTATCTTAGTAATCTGTTTTCATTAAGAAAGTAAGAAACACATTTTACTTACAGTATCCTTGTTTCATCTCTTAAAGATCTTTCAATTCGTGTCCTCGCCATCTAGATACCATTCCATGACCATACGACAACTTTTCGGTATCCCTTTTAGTTACTACTTATAAACATTCCGTATCAGGTAGGCTTGGCCAAGTGATAAGATGATTTTGGAAGATCTACTGGAATTAAATTCAATATTTTGTTAATTTCCTTTTTGTTTTGCAAAAAGTTTACTCCATGTTTGGAAGCAAATATTACTTGTATTAAGAGAGACGAATTTCTCCAATAAATGTGGAGATAATCAATTTTTTTCTAATGAACGTATTACATTAAATAGAGAAGAATAATTGAAACAAATAAAAATTAAAGACTTTTCTGTTCAATGGATCATCTGGAGGCCCGTCCTCCACATTCCTTGAAAACTTTTATCTTCATTTGAAAATACCTGAATATTGATAAAAAGTATATGCATTTTAGGGCATACGTCTGATTTATAAATGGTCATTCCTTTCGTTCGAAAAAAAGATCTAAATCTGTGAATGAGTCAAGGCTTGTTGATTTGTTAGGTTATCCAGAACATGAGGAGTGGGATGGTCAGATTTAACAGAGTGTGGGACGACTACTAAAAAGGCTTCGGAGACCTGGAGGACTCTTATTGGATCCGTACATATTTATATCAATTTTAAAATATATCTTAGGGAAGGTTTCAATTTTCTCCAAAAATTTCATTAAATTTTGTAAATGCTTACAGATCAAACTATCTTTGCAACGTAACAAATCTATTTAAGGCTGCAAGTCAATTTTTATAAAAATATTATTCACATAAAAATACATGTATATAATCATATACATTTTCACTCATCCAATTTACTCATATTTCTTTTGTGAACTTAAAGAAAATGACGTGATACATCAACTAACGAAGGGAAGAAACTCCTCCCTCTATGTATCCATTACTTTAAAAAATGGCACAACGGTAAATGAATATTACGACCAGTTCTCCGTTTCGGATGAGAATGACAACTACACTCTTTTCCTTAGAGGGCCATCTGGGGTAAGTGAGAAATTTGATTGATTGTATGTTGTTAATCGTCCCCCTCGAGAATTTTTCACTCATTTGGAGACGCCACCACTTAAGCTTTCCGTCGGAAAGCTGCAAATTTTGACCTATACTCGATACACAAGGCAATTGAGCAGTGAGAGATCTTTTTCGTGCCTGCACCTGCTGCAACATGATGAAAACATAGATGAAAAATATGCAATCCATTACATCGCTCATAGAAGTTTCTTTAATTTTTTTCATAAATAGAAGGGATTTGCATGGCGATTTCAAAATTAGATTTTTGTTTTAGTTGTGGGGAAATGTTTTTTAGATGGTATTTGTACACTTTTTCTTCCATACATTGTTTTCAAATCTTTTATTAATTGATGCAACCCTTTCCTAAGATGAAGAAATGATTCTTTAAAATGCAAGCTACATGTACAATGCAACGATTTGTATTAAGTGCTCTTTATGCATAAAAATATAATGCAATCCAATTGCTTGATCATCAACATAAAACCACCAAAACTGAGAATTATTCCATTTCCTAATTCCTTAGACTAGAATGCTCTACCTGTGTCCTATCTTCCTATCTCTTCTCTTCCATTTCCGCCGTCTTATTTAACCTTATATCAATTGATATGTCAATTATTTCTTATCATTTAATGTATATCTACGTGTTTTTTTTCATTTTTAATTCTTTAAGTAAGAGTATGAAAAATACATGTACTAGTCATGTGGACTTGTCTTGAATACCCATTGCCCATGATAGCGAGATATGTAACTCACAGTGCATTTTTGTGTGTTTTTGTTGATGGTATGCAATATAATCATGACAGCTTGACTTAAGGACAGATGATACAAACAAAAAATGGATGCCTGGATAGGTATTTATTTTTTGGCTTAATTTCATTGAAAATGATGCAAATAGTAAATTTCTAGAATATAAAGAACTTGTAAACCTTCTGTGACGTTTAAATTCTGCCTCTCTGAAACCATCTTTATTTATCTATACAAATATTTTTCACTTCAAATCCCATTTTTGTGAAAATTTGAATAAAAGATTTAAAAACTACGTGGTGAAATTTATCTATTTTACTTATTAAATCATGACTCAAGTTATTATTTTCATATTTGTTGACAAATGTTTGTTTGTATTATCTGTCCTTAAAATTTAAAGACTTTTAGTACAATGCTATATGTTGAAGCCACTGTTTATTTTTACTTTTAGGTGACAGCATGTTACATAGTCATAGGGACTTCAGTTCAAATGGAATGGCCTTCAGTACACGTGACAGAGACAATGATATTTGTAGCAGCCATTGTGCTTTCTCTCTCGGAGGGTGGTGGTGGTACAGTTGTTGTCGCAAGGGATTCCTTAATGGCCGATGGTATCCCCTTTACTGGTCAATGCCATTGTCCCCTAAAATCAATAATGGCAATGATATAAAGGAGACTCTAATGATGATCAAGCCGCACTAAATCTGTTATATGTCTATTATTTATACACTTTCGCGATTTTGCGCGATCCAATCTTGTAGTGTTTTACGGACTTTTGATCTTGAATACTGTTTGTTATCTCCATATAATTCATGACATTCCAGGATAATGGATCCCATTTAAGCAGGATTCTAAAGAACAGAAAACAAACAAGAAAAAAAAACTATGGACGATAATAAACTATTTCTAATAGTTTTGATTAACATTCTAATAAGGTCTCCTATAGCTTAAATCTACTGATGGCAGTTTAGAACTAGTATAAAGTTCTCATGTTTTAAACAGATTTCTGGGTAGAGATATAGACATCTTATACTGATGTCTACGAGCTACTGATGACTTTGAGATAACAAAAGACACTCGTAATGTCTTTTATGTTTTCTTATGTGTTCATGTTGTATCCACCGTTTCCTACTGATACTTGTGAAAGTGAGATATAAGAGACTTCGATGTTGACAGCTTGAATGTCTTGTTTTCTTTTTGTTCATAATTTTACATCAAGCATACTATTTTTCCCGATTTCTTAAGACTTCATTCATAAATTATAATTAAATAGCTTGTTTTGAATTAAAGAAACCATATTCTAATGTATTCTGTTACATCCGATATCTTAAATACGTTCTAGAACAAACAAAATGAGAAATACTTTCAGCTTGACTTCGTAATAAGCATTTTGTTGTAGCTTTTTTCACCGAGAGTGTTTTCAAATATAATTAATAAGATTTGCTGAACATAAATATACTTGCCCTTACACTATATAAAATTGTAATGCATCTCTAGCAAATGTTTGACAGTAATTATAACGACAAAATTAAGTTAAACAAGAATATATGCTTGAATGAAGATCCCACAAAATGCCTTATCTTTATTGCGTTTATGATAAATGAAAATTAATCAAAAACTTTGGTTTAGAATTGTTCTAGAAAACTTGGTGATATATGTACATATATTGCATTTTAATATTTATCATACAACAATGAGATGTAGCTATAAGATTTTTTTGAAACAAAAGTCATTGTGCTGTTAAAAATATATCTTCTTCTTTAGAATTAATTACCGTTGATTTGTTGTGAGTTTTGTCATTTTTTAAGATTGCTAATCTTGAAAATTGTTTAAGTCGTACGAAAATTATATTAGCAGAACATTGTCTCCCTTGCCTTGAACACCATTACAACCGATGAAAAAATTAAAAACTTTCTCATCATGCAATTTCTACCAATCACAAAAGAGAGGAAGTGCATAATCCAAAGACTGTAAAAAACTGTATAAAACTATATAAAACCGTCTTCCAAGGAAGACGGTAATAACTCAAAGTGTATGTTGTATAAAGAAATCCAGAGAGTTCCGAATGTGAAGATGTGAATTAACTTGGTCCTTTTGTCATCTTTATCAAGAAATGTTAGGTTAAAACACATGCACATCAGATTTAAAAAAAAATAAATAATGGATTTATTCGTTATTTTAGCTCTTCTGGTCAGAGACCAGAGGAGCTTATTCGATAGTAATGCGTCCGGCGTCCGTCCGTCAAGCTGTCTGTTTGTCTGTCTGTAAAGAATTTTTCAAAATGCTTCTCCTCCTACAGTTTTAGTTTGATTTCAATATTACTTGGCACACAAGTAGACTACACTAAGATACATAATTCTGTATATCAGTTTTTGATTTCGATGAATGATGTTGCCGTGGTTACTAAAAGTAGAAAGAATGATTGCACTTAGTGTACTAAACGTGGCCCCCGGTAAATTGCGCAAAAATAAGGTATAGAAAGTAGCCTAATGAAATTGATAAAACAATTCTTCAAGGTCTAGATCGCAACTTTGCAAAATTAAAGAAATTAAAAGTGAGTAATATTGAAGAACGAGACTGTGTTCTGTAAGAGGGGTCAATGCAAATCACGAATCTCCATTGTTATTCAAAGTTATTCCGATTTTTAGAGCTGAAATACATAGTGAGCGCATGCTTGCCCAAATTTCTCAAAAGGACAGAAGGTGTAGAACTTTTGGAAATTCAACATATTTAAGGGAGAATTTTGGGCAAGCCTGCGCTCGGGGTAAATTTTTTGAAAAAAGGTACAAAACGCCGACAGTTTTCTTCACTGTTTACGGGTATTTACATGTCATTGACCTCATTGTGACCTGTTTAATATTCCAATTTACCACGTGATTTGTAGACTCAGGTAACATTGTGAATACAAAAAAATCGATTAACCACGTGGTTGTAGATTCCGTCGAAAGGGGTCCAACTTAGTCCGTTTACATGTACATTTTCAATCAATCAACATAGAATTATTTCTTTTTTGTCAAGTGTTTTAATAGGGTCCTGGAATAATAAATTGGAAAAAAATGTAACGATATTTTATTTTTAGTTCTTGGATTTAAGGGGCACGTTTAGAGGCTCAACGAGTTTCAAAGCTTTAGCTCCAATCTTCGAAGTAGCACCATTCCTCAAAGTGTTTTTGATTGTAAAAAATATAAGGACACGGGGTAGAATATTTAGATTGTTGAATACTGGTATGGAATTCTTACTGGTACCCCCCTCCCTCCAAAAAAAAAAAACAAAACAAAAACAAACAAACAAGCAAACAAACAAAAAAAACAAAAAAAATCGCACATACAATTAATAAAATTGTTTTAGTGATAAAATATCACCACATGCAGCATCACAAAAAATATTCCGTACACCATTATTTGTGAGAAGTACGGGGTAAATTTACTGTACTTTAAAAAGTACGAATAGAGAGAGAGAGAGAGAGAGAGAGAGAGAGAGAGAGAGAGAGAGAGAGAGAGAGAGAGAGAGAGAGAGAGAGAGAGAGAGATGTTTAAAATTGCAATACGGCACTTACCTTTTAAAAAGTATAGAAGTTTTTCTTAAATATGATTTTCCCCGTTTTCATATACAAGTAGGCTCAGTTTATTTAATTTAGTGTTAAATTTCCATCGAGAAACGACCACAAGATGGGGGATCTGGATTTATAGGAGTCATATACATCTCAAAGATCCTCCCCAGTACCATCTTTCGTAAAAAAAAAATGACGTAATCCTTGAAAAATTCTTTGTGTTTATTTTTCTGTATACAGTTTGTATTTTGTATTAAATTCCAAAAGCGGCTAAATATTACATGTTTTCAATCGATCGATGAAATGCCCCGCTTACACTGAATATTAATGTGACACAATTAAAACCCAACTCGGACAAGCGCAACATTCCGGAATTAACACGAAGTATATGGCTTTTTAAATTACCATTTATAAAACTAAGACGCCGTTTTCAGTGTGAATTTTTGCAAGTAATATACCACAAAGATAACAAAGTATGAGTTAGGTGTAAAATAATTAACATTTGAGTTAATTAGATAAAGTTAGAGGGGTCCGAAAAAGGGGCCACGGCACTATGCTTAAGTGGAAACATTCTTTCTAAGAAATTCTTTCAAAATGCTACTCCTTCTACAGTTTTGGTCTGATTTCAATATAACTTGCCAGACAAGTAGACTCCAATAAGATACATAATTCTGTATATCAGTTTTTGATTTCGATGAATGGTGTTGCCGTGGTTACTAAAAATAGAAATTTCTAAGAAATTCTTTCAAAATGCTACATCTCCTATAGTTTTGGTCTGATTGCAATATAACTTGGCACACAAGTAGACTACACTAAGATACATAATTCTGTGCATTGGTTTTTGATTTCGATGAACAGCGTTGCCATGGTTACTAAAAATAGAAATTTCTGTGAAATGCTTTCAAAATGCTACTCATTCTACTGTTGAAATTTCTGTTTATTACTCTCGAAATGCTACTCCAAATACCGTTTTAGTCTGATTATAATATAATGTGGCATGCAAGTAGAATACACTAAGAACATAAAGAGACTTAATCAAGGATCACTATTTTAGTATTTTAGTGATATGTGCTTAGATTAAAAATAAAACCTTCATTTCTTTGTTTAGAACAATCAGATAATGACTCTGGCTTTTCCGTCAGAAAAAAAACGGGAAAATTTAAAGTATTTTAAATATGTAGTTGTCTTTAAAGTGTAAGCAACACAATAAATACCATAGTCATTTAATGCTACAGCATGATACATCGAAATTGTTATTGTGCGGTCTATATATTTTAAGTAGTTTTTAGTGTTAATTGTTCAGAGCTTTCCCAAAATGCAAGACTGTGAAGCCGATTGAGCATGTGTTTTCAAGGAATTTGGACTAAAGTAGTTGTGCCGCTCGAGAGCACTAGCAAAAAGTTCCTTTACTCCCGGTTTTATTTAGTATGTGCACGGACAATTTTCGCAGGCACCGCCTGTAAGAGACTTTCAAACGCTCTAGAGATGGAGGTTTTGTGAAGGGAGAAGTATGAGTACACTAAAAGCGACACAAATGAACGGAATGACCGATAGAAAAAGATGTTCGTTTTTTTCTATAAAAGAAAAACAGGCATCTGTTTATGTTACATAATTATTCATAAACAATGGGTGTCAGTATGAGGAGAACTTGTATGATATTTATACTTACAGGCTTATCAACCCATTGTTATATGATCGTCAACAGAGTCTGTGTCGAAAGTTGATATTTTTGCACACTAATTTGTGCGTTTCAATAATACACTAATACATTGTGTGTTTATAAATATTGATAAAATAGTGTGCGTTTCTAGTTTTTCTCTTTCATATTTGTCAGTTAAATGACCAATAATGAGTAACTTTAGTATGGTGACGTATGCGGAGACTTAATTGCAAAAGTTTTTGAGTCCCGGGGAACAGGAAAGATAATTCCAAAAAGGAACATTGATACCAAAGATTTTGAAAATATCTTTTCTACATTAGTGCACCAATTTTTTCGTGTTCTCTTATTTATTGATACTTCTTCTATTCAAAACGAGCCTTCCTTGATTTTTCTCTACACGTATTTTAGAGAAAATGAGTTTTATTTGTGTTTTTTATAAATTAAAGGAATTTCTCTGAAAGACCCATTTATTTTTAACGTA